AATAAAATAATTTGTTTTTGTTTTTTGATATATAATTTAAGTGTTCAATTAGAGAAAGTTAAGTGTAACTTTACTTTTCTAATGAACATTATGGGTGATTTATGATATATAAAAAGAAATTATAGATTATAAAAAATTTATTAAATTTTTTTAATCACTATATTAATAGTTAACCCTCTAAGAAAGGAATGCCAGGTATGAATTCAAAGTATATTGAAGATTTATCCACATTATGTTATATACCAGTTGAAGAAAATATTGTAAGTATTACTAAATTTATGGTAAAATATTTATTATTAGAATATGTTCATCAAAAAAAGTATTTAGTACATAAAAGTGATAAAATTTATGATGGTGAGCATTATATTGTAAAGAAGCATATTAAAATTTACAAGTTAAAAATTAGAAATATTATATATGATCCTATATTTGTTGCATACAAGCTAATTAAATTTAATCATTATAAGAATTTATTTAAAATAGTAGATCTAATTTTATTTATGAATATAATTAAAAAGATATTTAATGAAAAAGAAAATATTGAAATTGATGAGCAAGATATTGAAGGATTTTTCAAAAATGATGATGAATTGTATATTGAAAATGGTAATGAATATAGGTTTTGAGAGCATTTAATAGAAATGTTATCAGAAAACTTTTAATTTATGCCAAGAAATAAATTTCAAACTCAATTACTTTTTGAATTTTTGTATTTAAAAAAAGAAATTGTTTCACAGATTCAATCAAAATGGTTGCATTAAACGAATTCCTCCCAATCAACCATATCCAATTACATAATAATCTGAACAAAGAATTAGATGTATTTATGGAAAATGAATTGGAATCTTACATTAATCAAAATATTGTAGAAAAATTAAAAATGAAATTACAAAATAAAATAAAGTCATTGTTTTTAACTGACTACTTTTTATACTTGAGCATGAATAATAAATTTTGTACCTATAAATTTAAAAAAGGAAAACGTGATGGTCAGTTTTGTGGTAGAAAAATCAGAACAAATTTACCTGATGGTAAAAAGAATTACCTTTGCTGTCAACATAGTAAGCTTCATATTCCTAAAAATAAAAAACTTGTTGTTTATAAATCTAATAACACTGAAGATGAGAAAATTGAAAAAAAAGAAAACAAGAAAAAGAAAAAAACCAACCTATTAAATTTATTATAGGAAACCTATTTTATTTATGTTTCAATTCAATTATTCCTTAAATACAATCAATATTTTTAAATAATATGGTATCAATGATATATTACCCAGAGTATGCAATTTTATAATATACCAAGATTATGCTTATTGATATATTCCTTCAATAAATCCTTTTGATTAAATTTATCAATTGATAACCAACTGTTATCATCAGCACTATATCCAACCCATTTTACTTCAAACAAATATGTACCATTTTCAGTTTTATGCCTAATAATCTCTTCTATTTCATATGATGCCATTGCTCGTTGTTTCACTTTATTTCGCTTTCTTTTTTTACTACACTCATTAAATCTTGGAACATCATCATTATCACTATTACTCTGATTTGAATTATTATCAGATTCATTATCAACAGTCATTTCTTCATTTGATATAGCCATATTAAGCAGGTCATTTTGTAATCTGATCATTTTATCCAGTTTATCTTTATTTTGTTTATCATTGCTGACCACTATATCAATTAGTTTATGCTCTACTAGAAAATCAAAATCATTACTGTGCCATAGTTTATAGTGTGGTAAAATAGGAATATTGAACATTTCTACAAATTTTGTAATATTTTTTAATAAACAAGCTACACAAAATTGCAGATTATAGTATTTTATGTTATCCATTTTAACAACTGACTTGTTATTATTGAATCGGCAGAATTTATTCCCAATTTCTGAAAATTGATTCTCAACTTTTGTCCTAAAACTTCCAAATGTCTTATTAAAATGATCCTCAGTAATCGTTAAGGGCTCATTTACATTTTTACGTACAGGGTATATAAAATTATCATGGCTAAAGTTATATCCTTTTTCATTAGCAAGCTCTGTAAATTATGTGATAAACAAAGTATATCCACCATCAACTGCCATTATGTCATTCTCATACATATATTTAAATAATTTCATGTTTAAAAACATGCTACCATCTGAGCTATCAGAACAAAAGTCACTTTTAGAAGTATAAATAATCATATCATTCATATCACTAACAAATTGGGTACGTATTCCATTCTTCTTAAATTTATAAGAATACATTCTTTGAAAGTGGTCAATTTCAGTATCTACATAGTTAATTCTTGAATCATGACCATCCAATACAAGTGTTACATGTTTAAATAAGTCGGGATTATGCTTTCTAGCAGATAGAATACGTAATTTGATAGATGAAAACATGTTATTCATTGAATCATTTACTATTTTGTTGATTCGTTTGTAGTTGTCCTCATCCATCCAAAACTTTTTATAAAATGTATGAAATGTGCTATGTGGTAAGTATTTTTCAAATTTTTTCACCACATACTCCAGAGACTAAATGATATAATAAAAACAATCCTTTTTCAATTTCAAAGTAAGGTCCGGGATATTCCTTGTTTGTATATAAAACTACTAGAAAATAAAATACAGCAACATAACCTAATTTACGTACCAATTCATCCTTAATTTTTTCTATGAATTTAATATGTTTCAAATCAGTTCTATGTTTATATTTATTATGTACAGTAGGCCAATTCCATTCTAGGAATTGCCAATAATTTGCAATAATTGAGTTTACTTCATTTGTAATCAGTGGTGTATAGTTTGTTGTATCCATTGGGTCGTTCTTTGTTTATATTATGGATTTTCAATTTTTATAATCATTGAATACATGATTTTGGTCACATGATGTCATAAAATTGATAAAAAATCAAAATGGATGATATAATTTAATATGGCAGCAAGCAATTTATTAGATTTATCAAAAACTATTGTAAATTTATAGCCAATTTGGTACTGTACATCCCACAAATGTATATCATATAGCCATATTGTAGCATAAAAAGAAGGATCGCAATGAAAAACAGGGATGGTTTTTACTTACATACATGCTAAGAGAGGTTGATACAGAGAAGGTACAATGTGCAGACGAAGAATATGTTGCACTCTTATTAGGTATGGGACGAAAAGGTATTTTAGACGATGTCAGCACAGAAAGAAGGATCGCATTAAGTAAAGAAGAGGGTGGGATTTACTCACAAATGATAAGAGAGGTGGATGGAGAGAAGGTACAATGTACAGACGAAGAAGATGACAGTTTAGGTATAGGAAGAAAAGGTATTTTGAATTATATCGGCGACAGATCGGTTTGCAGTTGCAATTTCCGAAGAAAGCAATGCTGCGAGACTTTCGAGCTGTCTGTTCAGCTGTTTGTTCTCGTAATCTTCACCTTCTCTTCGTCCTCACCAAACAATGCAACAACATTTGTCAAGATTGACTTGACCTGTCCATCTGGGCATTTTTTTAGAATTCCATGGACAAAAGATTTCTTCAGCGATCCACAACTACTTGTAATCACGTCTAGGGCAACTTGTCAAACAAGGATATTATTTATTATCCATCAAATTCACTACGGGGGTTAATCCTTAATTGTAATTCTTTAAAAGGTTTTATTCATTAAAGGTAAATCATTGTTTAAAGATATATATGAAAAAATAAAAAATTAGATTATAATTTTTTTATTTTTGAAACTTTTAACTTTTTTTTTAACTTTTTTTTTAATTCTTCAAAAGGTTTAAGTTTTATATAAACTTTTTTAGACCTTTAAAAGAGTTATATCCTTTTATAATTAATTTAACACAGGCTAGGAGGTACGACGACGCCCAGTTCAATAAAAAATCAATGAAGTTAGATTTTTATTAGAATGCTTGACAGTGAAATCCTTAACTAAAATTAGTTTACTGTTTACTGTAATATTAATTGTTAGGAATTGAAACTCTATATACTGGGACATCTTAATAATTAAATATACCTAGAAGGTGACAATTATTTAATTGAGATAATCAGTAAGTAACTGTGTAATAGATACTTCAGAGACTACAAGTGATAAATATTAGATTTACCAAGTTAAATCTAACATTAAGAAAGAGTCCAATCTCCTAAAAGAATTAGATCTAGAATTATCTTGAGATCTAATTCTTTTTTTTTAAATCTCTTTTGTAATCTTTTTTTTACAGTATTATTCATTAAGTAATTAATTTTAATATTGAGTAAAATATATGAAAATCTGTTGATTAAATAATGGTATAGTAGATAAATATATATAAACAATTTAATAAGTATAATAGATTTAATCTTATTTATATATTTATATAGGTAGGACATAATTATTACTTATCTATTAATATTTAGTAATAAAATTAGATTATACTCTAATTAAGACCAATACCATTATTAAATAGTCGCAGGGAGCACCAACTGACGTGGCCCCGTAAATATAGAATTATATTATTTATTACTTTACACAAATTATTACTTAATATAATTACATATCTTTTAAATAATAGTACAAATGTATCATTAAAAAATTATCTACATTGAATGTTTTAACTCTATTAATTAAATCATATTTATCTACTTTATATCCTAAAGTACAAACTTCTGTATGTATACTTTTAGCCCGGGCCAGAGGCTACATCGCTCACCTTAGCCCAGGCTAAGGTAATTCCCTCCCCAGGCTAATATAAATAAAGCACCATTAGTTGCTAATAAATCAAAAAGTAGAAAAGTATGGTATATAATATTAATTATAACTTAATTAATAGAACTCCATTTTTATCTGTAGGTTCATGTTTAGATTATATGAATATTGATAGAAATGCATTTTATAAAATTGTAGATACAAGTAAAGTATATTTAAATCATTATTATTATATTAAACCATTAACTAAAGAAATTATTATAAAATTAATTACAAAAGGATTAATTAAAGATTCTTTGTATAGAAAGAATCCTTAGGAGAGAAGTTCGCATATTTAATTGTTTATATTAGAGCAATCGCGATTTTATTCCTTTTCGTAGTAATGATGCTTAATATTAAATTAGTAGAGTTACAAGATTCAATAGAAAATTCTTCTAATCCTTACCTATTAGCTTTTGTATTAGGTACTCTATTTGTAAGTGGTTTAAGTTTAACTAATCCAAATATTTCAAAATTTGATTTACCTGCAATTTTTGATTCAATTAATTTATTATCATTTAAATCAGATAAATTAGAAACATTATTTGTAAATCATTTAATTTGGGATAATTTATTTGTATCTTTAGATCAAATTAATAGTCTAGGTCAAGTATTATACACTTCTCATGCACTATTTGTAATTATTGCAAGTATGATTCTATTATTAGCTACGGTAGGACCAATTATTTTATTATTAAATCCTACTAAACGAGTATCTTAATTAAGTAATTAATTAAAAATTACTAATTAATATTATAATTTTTTTAGATAATTAAGTTCTGGGAACAGAGTTTATCTTCTAAACCTAGAACAGGGCTTAAGCTCTAGTCTAAATAATTAATTAAATTAATTTACTAAGTCTAATGGCTTGATGACGATAAATTTAATAATCAATATTTTTTTTTATTTCTTATTAAATCTTAATAAGTTTTTTTGAAGAATTTTAAAGAAATATTAAGATTATATATATATAATTATTTACTCATGCTATTATCATTTATTGAGGTACTTATTGTTATTGTACTATTATTAATGTCTGTAGCTTTTATTACTATTGTAGAACGAAAAGCTATGGGATCTATGCAAAGACGACTAGGTCCTAATAAAGTAGGATATTATGGTCTGTTACAACCATTAAGTCAAGTGGCATCTCTTAATTAATCTTCAAGAGTAAAGTCAGAAGATTATAGAGATGAAAATAAGACTATATGCTGGGAAATTCTTAAAATTTGCTATACCTTATTGGTTACAATTAATAAATTCGAATTAACAGCAGGAAACTAATTAAAAAGATTAGAATCCTCAACGATCACATGTCTTACATTTTTATTAAATATGATAATATGATCTATTTACTCAAAGAATGTTGTAAAATTTGGGAAACTATCTTATTTAAACTTTGTAATCAAATTAAATTCATACACTAAATATAGTGTTTTATTAATTATTATTTTTACACGTAGTTAATAGTAATTTAGCTAAGAGGCAACCTTGGTACCCGAATCTTAGTCACCCGTATCTTGTTCAGCCAGTGTGAAGATTGTATATGGTCGGGATCGATGGTCATCAGTGAGTGAGCTTGATGAACGACAGAGTGTATATGTAGAAGGAAATTAGAAGCGCATTCTGATTTGTCGCAATTGATGAAGTACATCGTACTATGATATCATACGCGTGGATGTGCTTTCTGCCAATAAACTTGCTTTTTTGATCGATGCAATGTTGAGAAAAATTGCAGTTGTCTTTGCTTGGTCATGATCGAGATCGAAGTGGACATGTGTGCCACTGACACTTGGAGGCTTAACAGTATCGATTCGCAGTGACGATGTCACCAGTAGATTCCATGATTTAGTACCGATGATAAGCTTCTTGCCATCACTGTCCATTTTTGTCGTGATCCACACATTTGGGTACTTGGTATTGTCTAGGGGTAACGTGGTCGAAGGTGGTGATCCCTTTTTGGTAGAGAAATTTTCTCGATGGACATCTACCATTTGAGTTCGGCCGTAAACTTCCCCACAGTTGATAATCATTGCCTCGGTCATGTTATTGATTGCAATTGCACCAGCTAGCATTTGCGCACAAACAACTGGAAATATAGAAACGGGTATTAATCCTTAACAGTAATTTATAAAAGGTTTTATTAATTAAATATATATAATTGTTTAAGAATATATAGGAAAAAAAAATTAGATTATAATTTTTTTATTTTTGAAACATTTAAGATATTTTCTTTAATTTTTTTTTAATTCATATAATATGTATAGGTTTTGTATAAACATGTTTAAACCATTAAAAACAAAATATTCTTTTATGATTAATTCAAATCTTATAATAGTGGAATAGTAATGAGCAAGTCCCTTCTCTAGCCGAGGAATACTTGGACGAAGGCTAGCTTGATAGTGAAAGACATAACTAAAATTAATATACTGTTTACAGTAATAATAATTGTTATGGATTGAAACTCAACACAGTCCAGTCTGTGTTGAGCATATTGGCGATTTCTGGAGACATTTCAGCATACGAGTGTTTTATCAGATGATGCTTGTATGGACCGTAGTGTATAATGGACGTAAGGTGTGTTTGTCCCACGGTTGACGATGATGTGTTAGCATTTTCAGTCTACTTTTGTCGTTTTTCTTGGTGGACGTGCTCGATCTGCATTTGATTATCACAATCAGGTTTGATCATTTGCATCAAATTGTCTTTATGTGTTATTGCAGCAAGTTTAACATTATTGGAATCAACTAAGGCAAATGGTTGAAGCTGCATTTCATTCAGAATCCACAGTGCCTTATTTCGAGTTTCTGGTTTCGCAGATACAAGGCGAGATGCACAGAGTAGTGCTTCCTCGTAAGTTCGTTTGGGCGCTGTAGATGCTTCAGGGACTGGCATTGTGATCAGTTCGGTGAGAATTCTCACATCGATATTTTCATCATCATCTGATTCACTAGATTCATCGGCATTGCCTCACGAGTTTAATATGGTGCATTTCGTCTGTAATCGCCAAAACTTCATTTTGTTTCAATTTTCAACTTTAAAATTCAGATTCTTTATTCGGTAATATATGTAACGTGTTAATAGTGAATGGCAATTCTGTGATGTGAAGTATACTCTCTTGAAGAAAACTTTTAACTAATCCCAGTGCTTCTTTTCTGGGTATATCCTACAAATATGCCTAAACAATCTCCCAATCATAAGGGATTGTCTCCTCTTCTATTGTTGTTTGAATTGCCTCGTTCAATGTGGTTCCAGTGACGGTAATACGACCATTATCATTACATTGCTTTTTCTTAGCAGCCTTTTGGTGCTTACTTTGGGGAGCCATGGTAAAACAGTATAGAGAGTGAGGGAAAGCAAATCTCGAACATGATTGGCTGATAGCTATTCACATGGGACCTTAAAAACCCTGACGCGCTTGTGCAACATGTTTCAAATCGCATTCTTCCCTGCTAAATATCTGAAAATTGCCTTTGACCAACCATCTTTGACAGCTATCAACTTTTTTTTAAAACTTTTTTTGCAACTTCTAAACTTCAATAACTATTCTTTATATGCCTAAAAGTGTTTATTAAAGTATAGATTTGAAATATAATGACTTAGGGTAAAGTAGATAGATCTCAAATTTGGAAGAAATTATTGGCGATTACAGATGAAATGCACCATAAATATGTAGAAGAAAGCAGTTATGACGTGTAATGTGGATTACAGTTATGACATGTAATATCGATTATGAGTATCAATCCATAACAATTAATTTTAGTTAAGGATTTCACTGTCAAGCTAACCTTCATCCAGGTATTCCTCGGCTAGAGAAGGGACTTGCTCACTACTGTTCCGCCACTATAAGTATTAAATTAAACATAAAGGGATATTACAACATAAAGGGTTTAAACAGATTAATACAAAACTTAAACTGTTTAAAGAATTAAAAAAAAATAAAAAAGAAATACCTTAAGTGTTTCAAAAATAAAAAAATTATAATCTAATTTTTTATTTTTTCCTACATATGTTTAAACAATGATATACATTTAATTAATAAAACCTTTTTTGATTTACAGATAGGGATTAACACCCTATCGAGTCGCTCTTACTGCTTGCTGTTGCTGAGTAGTTGCCACGATGTCTTTTGAAGTGCGATCGTACAGTAGAGCCGGTTGTCATAGATTTTTTGTAAATAGTGCAAACGAACTCGCCGGTAGCTATGTCGCGTTCCAGTACCATCGCAATGGTTTCCCCTAAGTCAAGTGTGAACGAATGAATGATGCTTTTCATATGCACAAAGAAAAAGACAAACCTTGATCATTGCTGTAATTCACTTCGACTGTTGGAGAATGCCCATTTCTCCTGTGGTTTGCTAATTGCCAAGACGTTTCGAAGTGCGTGTCGCAAAATTCACAAATATATTTGGATGTCATTGTCACGGCAACAATTAGTGAAGTGAAACGAAAAAGCAGGTTTTTTATGGCGTTCTAAATTGAAAGAGCAGTTGTAAGCAGTGCAGCTGTATATATCAACAGGTAGGAAATGATCGTGACGGAGTCCATGCGTATCATGTGCTTGTCCACTTATCAACAGTCATGAACTATGAGAGAGTACATCACACACGTCATTGTTGATTTATTATGCAGCTGTAACAGCAAAGTATTCTACACGTGGGCGGCAATGTTTAGAGCGATGCTTCTTATGTGGACAAGAAAAAGACAAACCTTGATCATTGCTGTATTTTACTTCCACTGCTGAGGAATGACGATTTCTTGTGTGGTTTGCCAATTGCAAAGATGTCTCGAAGAACTTGTCGCAAGTTTTACAAACACATTTGGATGTCTTCGTTTTTTCGTGTATGAAGAGTTTATTCAGATGCCGCCAAGGGCGGGCATCGCAGAGAAGAAAATATATGATGCAAACGAAGGCAAAGGAGAGAAAATGCGAACTACGCTATTGTGCGGTTTTCTTGTTGCAGATGATGGAGCATTCGGATTGCGCGAGCAGCAGCAACACCTTGAGGCCAAAATGGCTTTTGATGAAAAATATGTTGCCAGTGTGCGTTCCACAGAGCAAGGGTTGTGCAAGCAGGTTTTGGCTGTGGGTTAGCTGGCCACACGGATTGTACATGAGAATAGTTCAGCAGGCGCTTTGTTCGGGCAAGACCACAAGGAATGTTCATTTGTATCCATACCATCGCAAAAAATGCAGGTGGATGAAGTGACAGTACATATCTGGGCAACGTAGGTGTAAACGAGCTCGACTTGACAGCCCAGCAAAAAGGATCCCTTTAAGAAATTTTTACTTTCTTGAACGATGTACACGATATCAATTATAGCGAGTGTAGCTAGTATTTATAACCTGTACGCGTAGTACCGAGGAGGAATACTGTAGCTGCTGTTACATATTGACTAATGTAGTGTACACAAGACTCGTAATCATTATTGGATAACATAGTCTGCATGTGCTATTTATCTGTGATGTGTGAGGTCGCGATGATGATGTGTCCCCCAGATCTTTGTAGCACAGCATTATATGTGTAACACTTGTCGTTAATTGATTCGAGCGTGGTGCACCTAAAGCAACGCAATTTACTTGTACTCCACCGAACGTCATAAGTTTTAGAGCAGCTTGGAAAGATATACAACAGAATGTACATGTTGTTACTGCGCGAGCCGCTGTCGTGGTGTGTTTTTATGGTACTTTGTTACACACAACGACTGACGCGTTAGCATTTCGCATTGTCTGTAAACGAATGACCCTGCATTAAATTGCCCACGAGAGGAATCTGTTAACAATGTTTAGCACAAGATCACTCATCGATGCATGTAATTTTTGAAGTACAATAACTGGACAAAGGAACAGCCGACTGTTTCTTCTTATCGCCGCAATATATCATCAAGCAGCGTGAGCTAAAAGATATTACTACATCCCCCAAAAAACCAACTTGCACATTTATGGCTACCACAAATATACAGTAAAAACATCTTGGGCCATGCGACAAAATGCTTCCTTGCTACCAAGAGCTTTACATAGACCAAGACTCTCATTCTGCTAATATGTTTTAAAATGCAGTACATAACAGTGACAGAAATATTTTTTCGACATGCAGCAGTGTAGTCAGTTTGACGTATATTCGACTATCATCACAGCATTTTCAGAGCTAGATAGCGATCATTCAC